AGGCACTCTTTTATAATTATTGGGATAAACAGGTTTGAAATCATTTCAATGTATACTATAGGACAGTAAACCAAAAATATCGTTTAAAACTTGAGAGATACAAAAATATGCATAAATAAACGTTAACTAGGTAAAATAAGATATGAATGAACAACAAAAATAAAATAAGTTGCATTTATTTGCTATTGGCTATGGTAGGTTATTGGTTATGTTCACATACTTATTTGATTATTAAAATGTAAACCAATCTTTTTCATATGGGTGTTTAGAGTTGTGTTTAGAGTTGTCTAGGTCAGGTCTCTAGTAATGTGTGCTCAAAGTGCACCCGATTGAAGCATTTTACTTTAAATGTTCAAACATTTCTTCCTGGGGGGGCATACCCCCGGTCCCCCCTAGAGGATGTGACGTCCACACCCCAATTCAAACATGTTCATACAATACCGAATACATTTGAAGCCTTTGATGTATATGACTTATGTCAATACGTTTCTGTTTTTGTAGTGCATTGGTCTTTTGTAGAGATTTTTCATTTATTTTTTATATATTCTATTGTGTATTCCTTGGATACTTTTATTTGTTCTACTGAACGATTTTCTGGCAGGGGGGGGCGCCAGCTAAAATCTCGCCTAGGGCAGCAAATTGGTTAGAACCGGCCCTGATGGTGTAGGAAACGGGCTCCGTGTTACAAGACGGGTCGGGAGTTTGGCGGGACCACTGCAGACTCTCTACACACACACACACACACACACACACACACACACACACACACACACACACACACACACACACACACACACACACACACACACACACACACACACACACACACACACACACACACACCGCTGCAGACTCTGCACGAAGGAGCCACGGTGCTGCAGCTCCTGATCGGAGCAGAGACACACGTTCACTAAGCGGAAAAACGATATCCTGTCACAGAGATCTGCTATTTAAAATTTTAAAGTCAGCACATATCGACCCTAAATAAAGTCTATATTAAGAACGAGAGATGTTTTGACATTATGACTTAAACAAATGACAAATGAGCGAGGGCGATGACGTCAGAGCATCGTCCTATGTGCCGGGGCTGAGCCCCGGACAGCCCCGGCCCAATTTAACCCCTGGTTAGAGGCCCTATTTTATCAGTATGTCTGGACTGCACAGCAGTTACAATGGTCAAACTACATTAGAACAGAATTGTCTCCATTTTGTCTTTAATAGTTACTAACATTAGATATTTTAATGAGATATGAACCGCAAAACAAAAAATGTCCCTGATTTTCATTTTTTAAATTAAGTCACCGAATGCAAGTAGTCGCCTTAGCTTATTTTGTTATGAGATGTGAATTACTGTTCAATTGAGTTGATGTAATAATCATTTGGTTTCTTTTACATTAAAAAAAGGTCTTATGTTTTTTTTCGGGGGAGGCCCTTTTTCCAGTTTAGAGCAATAGCCCCTCCAAATGTCTGTGCACGTCCCTGGATAGGTGTGTGGGCTGTCTTTCATTTTGACACAAAGAACAATGGGGCATATCCACCCTTATCCACAATGTAAAGTAATTCACACAGCCTCTTCCCTCTTCTCTCTGTGAGGAGCAGCAGGTTCAGCTTTCAGAACAAAGTAACAAAAAACTAAAATGGCATTCATTTTTTTAATATGTCGTGTAGTAATAGATTTATTTATTTTTCTTCTCAAGAGAGTACCAGAATGTGTATTTTATGTTAGTAGCCTATTTCAAAACTAAAACAAAAAAAAACCCTTTTTATTTACTACAAGACAAATGTGCCTTTTTATTTCATACAGTTCAATTTGGATTGAGACGGGGAAATAATCTAAACCTCACGCGTGGCGTTTCACTGTCAAGGGGAGCGTGTATGTAATTGCATTGCAAATACTGACATGAGCCCCACCACTGTATGGGTTAGCCCTACCATAGATTACCCAACAAAAATACTCTCTCGCAACTGCCGACCCGTATTGCGCATGCTCAGATCTAAGAACCAGTAGAAATGATAAAAAAGTAAAAGTCTGCTGCTTATTGTTCTACTAGGCCAAAATAGAGTCAAAGAGTATATGAGAGAGAGAGTGTGTTAATTAATATATTTGGCAGTTTGGAGTAAGTCTGTATATTTGTTTGTGTCTGTGTGTTTCATGTATAGGCTTCTCACGATAATTAATTTTGTTGGATACATTTTCCCGGAAATTATTGCGATAAACGATAATATTGTCGGCACCGTTGTATGACCATTTTAGACCACTGACATAATGATAATATATAATAATAATTCAAGTACATCCTTTCAAACTGCTAGTCACATCCTCATGTAAATGGCAATTTATCGAGTTCATTTTTATTTATCGTACGATACGTCAATTAATTGCTTATCGCGACAGGCACACAATAAAACAGTGGAAACAAACGTGTTTGACTTTCAATAGTGAATGAAACTTTGTGCCCTTTATAGTCTGTGTCCAATATTGTGTATTTGTATATATTGTATATATATCCTATATATATATAGGCTATGCTAAGGTCCCGCTGCTGACACGATAGCAGTCATTTCGTGCGCATATGTAATTAAACCCATGATATCAAAATCTCACTCCAGCCAGGTACCCAAAGTTGGCAACCCTGTACAAAGCGAGCAGTGAGTGAGCGTTCAGACACCGGCGCACACACTCAAACGGACTCGTGTGCCTGACTCTACCAACAGGCTTTCATGATTCTGCTTAGATATGCAAGTATAAGCCATGATAGCTTATTTTATTAACACGCTAATTTGATATGAAAATCAATGGAGGCTGAGTTAACTTTGTAGGAAAACCGTCCATGACTGCTCCTGAGCTGTGTTTTATTTGTTAACTTCATATTTTTCATTTCCTAAAACATTTATTTTCCTCTCATATTAACAGTGTGGATCATTGAGACAGCGTGACGTCCAGAGGTCTTATCCCGTTTTCCCAATTCCTCTGAGGGGACAGCATTAGATCCTAGGAAGGGGGGCATGAAGAAAGACCTACACCATCTTCATCCACGCTGGGCGTTGCTGTTATCACTGGCTCAGTGTCATTTCATTTGACCAAATGTCTTTACATATATATTTAATAGATGTTATTATTATTATTATCCACCTTTTTGTTTTATGTCCTTTTATTTAAAACATTGTTTGAGACTTCATCTTCTGGTTCAAATTTCAATAAATGTAATTTGTATAATCACTCTTTTGTCTTTATTCTACATGAAAATGTTAGAGATTCCATTAAAATCTGTTGATTATTCATATCTTCCTCAGGAATAGTATGTTGAATTTTTTATGCTAAATGTATATCATTTTCTCACAGGATATAGAATGAGACAACACAGTTTGTATCCATTGTGTATGAATGCTTCAGCTCTTCAGACCAACATAGTAAGATGTGAGCATGTTCCTAATTGTGTTGGTATGCAGCCTAGGTCTGGTCTGTTTAATAAAGCAAATCTGCCACTTTTATATTATAGAATTTGTTAAATTAAAGCAGTCTTTAATTGTTTGTCCTAAACATTTTGAAATGTAACATGTCTTTGAAAAAATAATAGTATACAGTTTATATCACCTTTAGCTTGAAAATACATAGATGTGTTTTTTTAATCTATAAAATAAATAGACAGACAGACACTTTATCAATCCCAAATTAGGAAATTATTTAACAGCAGCAGTGTGTTCAGGTATTAAAATATTTAAAGTTGGAATAAAGTATAAACTACACAACACAAGTCTAATGCACAGCAATCCATAAGATAAGTCCGATATGTTCATGAAACTCCCCAGGAGACACCGACACTAACGTGGCCGAGTGTACTCCGGAGTTTGCTGCATGAGTTGCACTGTATGATCTGTGTAGTGGGCTGTCATTCTGTGACTGAGTAGCCAATGGGGACGCACCCCTTAAAGTCCCGCCCACCTGGGATGTTTGTGTCAAAATCGAAAACAAAAAATGAGGGAACGTAAACGAGAAGAGCTGCAGCGAGAGCAAAAGTCTGATCATTGAGAAAGAAGAAACAAGAACTGCAAACAAAAACCTATGTTAAAACAAAGAAAAAATACTTATAGTTTACATGATTACACAAATGATTTGTTTGCAATTTATAGTTTTACTTTTGAAATGTATTTTATTTTGCTTGACTCAGTTTTTTTTTTTTTAAACTCATAGTTTTTTATTCTGAGAAAGTGTTGCTTTATCTTTATGATACAAAACTAATCCCATAGCGCGCCAACCGCCAGCTAAAATCTCACCTAGGGCAGCAAATTGTCTAGAGCCGGCCCTGCTGAGGAGTCTCAAACAGGCGTTTGTTAAATCATTTTAAGATTGGCTTTAATCAATTTGTGAAAAGTAATTCTTCCTATATGATAAATGAGAGGTAACATTCTATTTATGGTATTATTTCCACATATTTCTCTCCATTCTTCCTTCTGCCAACGGTGTCGCAGTTTCTCGTCTCTCCCGTTTTTGTGCTTAGTGCGTACGCATGGGTCAGAGTTTGCGTGGAGGACTGCACATTTTCCCATCAAATTAGTTTTTTTATAAATCGCAAACATTGCGTAGAAACTGGCGTACGCCATCTTTTGAGCGTATATCCCTTTATAAATGAGGCCCCAGACCATAGTATGTAAGCAACTATTAGATGGATGTACATTACATTTTTTACACAAACGTATGGTATGGCCTGTGAATGAGTCCTACTGACTTTGGTGATCTCATGAACCACAAGGATGACATTTTACTTCACTTTAGTGACCATTATTTATATACAATTGGCTCCCTCCTGAGACCCAGAAAGAAAAAGGTTTCAAATTTCCTTTTTTTTTAGATCACACAAGTCTTTAGGGTGGTATAAACATAATGACTAACTAAATTTCTGTTTTGTTGTGTGTCCTTTGTAGAGGACATCGGGTGTTAGTTATGCGAAGTATAGTATACAAACAACATTAGAGCACAACAACTCAATGCAACAAATATATATATTTTTAAATATTTGTATTCACATGAAAAAAGTGTAACAGTGAATTACAGCAGTTAAGGCATTTTCATTTTGAAAATGCAACAAATATTGAGCCCTCATTTGTAGTACTCCATCCTTTTTTGAAATTCAAAGCCACACCCCCACATATGTCATATGTTTGAAAAGCCCAGGATGTCCTCTGTGGAGTACACTTGGACTTAATGCTGGGGCATGTATAACCTCAAAGTAATGGACCAAAACCCAATGTGCTCCACAGAGGACAAAAATGAATGGGTGGGTCTCTGGAGGTTAAACTGGCAAACCCCGTTTAGGATCATCCACGGAATTTGTAGGCCAGCCATCCCACTGCTGCTCCAGCACCAGACATAGTTGCAGTAGTGAAAGCTGATAGTCCAGTTACACCTACAGCAAGAAAACACAAGTGACATAAATGCATGTAGCTAACCTGAAGTTAAGAGTCTTTCAACATGAACCAGTGGCACTTTTGCCATCACAGTGTATTAGTAAGATACTATTGTAACCCACCTAAATACTGTATTTTGTTGAACACTGCACTACATGCACATGATTCACCCCCCTTTTTTTAAATTGTTCAATCTCTACACATTATTAGATTAGATTAGATTCAACTTTATTGTCATTGGACAGAGTACGAAGACAACGAAATGCAGTAAGCATCTATAACCAGAAGTGCAAAACAAGCTGAGTTGTTCATGGTATAATATACATCTGGCCGATAAACTGCAGTACACTATGAACAGTATAAGGAAGTATATGCTCATTATAAACAGCAGTAGGCTATAGTATTTAAATACACTATAGATCAGGTAGCCTATAACATTGACAGTATAATACAAGACATAATTAATATGAATGTGCTACAGGCCATGAATAAATGTGAGTTTGATAAAGAAAAATGGTGTGTGTGTATGTGTGTTAATGAAATCATGCTGTTTACCTGCTGCCTGCAAAACAGCCACTGTACTTCCGGCTGCCACTGCGCCTCCATTAGCGATCGCAACCGAAGACATCATGCCGGCAGCATAGGAGCCTGCTGCGATCCCGGCTGAGGTGAACCCTATGCCGACCAGAACAACAGGAACACCTACCGCACCAACCACTGCAGAAAAACCAGCAGAGACAAGCTCAGTTTAGCACGTCACTGGGTATTAATTTTCCACATTAGAAAGTCAACAATGGTGACAGGGTACAAACATGCTCCAGCTGCTGCTCCTACTCCAATTACGACAGCCGTGACTGAAACACAATGGACAGGATCAGAATCAAACATTTAATCTGGTTTACTCAAACACATTACCTTGGTTATTTATATTATTATAGCTCTAGTAAAAGGAAACGTACAATTAAACATACTTACTCTTATTCATGTTATTCTAAACTGACGACAGTCAGTGCTGATACTGAGATCAAGGCAGTTTCCACTTCGGAAAACACAGTCAAGCCAGCCCGCACATTGTATTGCGGTGCGCGAATATCCTCTGCATTACGGTCAAGGCCTGGAAAAACTGCCTTCAAAATAAAAGCGCTTACTCGGTCAATAACAAATATACCTAAAAAACACACCAAACATATTTATATACTGGAGCTTAAATTAAGAAATATGTACTATATAATGTGATCAATAATTATTTAAAACAAACTACGTATAACCACCACATTATAACTGAGTGAATGTAAAACTTAAGGATATCGTCCATCTGTTTTTAGATAAGAATAAAACAAAAACTGTAAGACTAATATCACTCCAGGGTGATAGCAGGACACCCCAACTAGTCACTCAGAGAATATCAAGACAATCTGATGAAGAGTTTCAAAATAAAAGACCTTTGAAGTCTCATATATAAGCTAGTGTCCCGCTGTTTTTAGATAATAAGAATAAAACAAAAACTCTCCAGTATCAAAGACTAATATCACTCCAGGGTGATAGCAGGACACCCTCATCACTTCAGGGTGAAACTGTACATCAGATTGTCCTGATATTCTCTGAGTGACTAGATGGGGTGTCCTGCTATCACCCTGAAGTGGAATAAGTCTTTGATACTGGAGAGTTGTTGTTTTATTCTTATCTAAAAACAGAGGGATGATAGCTTATATGAGACTTCAGAGGTATTTTATTTTGAAACTCTACATCAGATTGTCCCGATTTTCTCTGAGTGACTAGTTGGGGTGTGCTGCTATCACCCTGGAGTGAAATAAGTCTTTGATAATTGACAGTTTTTGTTTTATTCTTATCTAAAAACAGATGGACGATAGCCCATATATGAGATTTCAAAAGTATTTTATTTTGAAACTCCTTAAGTTTTACATGCACTCAGTTATAATGTGGTAGTTATACGTAGTTTGTTTTAAATAATGATTGATCACCAGTATGAATATGTTTGGTATGTTTTTTAGGTGTATTTGTTATTGACCGAGTAAGCGCTTTTATTTTGAAGGCAGTTTTTCCAGGCCTCTACCGTAATGCATTGGATATTCGCGCACCGCAATACAATGTGCGGGCTGGCTTGACTGTCTTTTCCGAAATGGAGGCTGGTTTAACGCAGTGTGCTGACCCGGATGCTTTTCCTCAGTTTTTGGAAACGAAACCTAAATATTTGTGAAGACCAGATGTCACCAGAGAGTCCATTTGCTGTATAAAGAGAAGTTATAACCGTGGTTTACGTTTTTTTTAATTGCAAAGATACGACATGTCATTGAATAAAAGAAAATTCAACTAAATTCATTAACATTTATTTTCTTTTTTTCATCCATACCTTTTTCTTTTCTTTTTAACAATATGTATGTATTTATTTAACAAGATTCAAGTCACCCTATGTCATGCTATGTTTTGAGTATTATCATCATATTCATTGTGTTCTGAATGTCTAACTAACACATTCCAACGCTTTTCATTTCAGTGTCATTTTATTATAACATGTTGACAACCAGCTATTCTTCAATTAAATAAATAATATATTTAAATGAATGCAGCATTGACTCTTTTGAATCAAAACAGATCATATGTGAGATAAAAGTCACATATTTTGACATCATTAAAACACAGAGGTGGGAAGTAGTGGAGTACAAATACTTTGTTACTGTACTTAAGTAAATTTTTCTGGTATCAGTACTTTACTCCACTACTTATTTTTCTGACGACTTTTTACTTTTACTTCTTACATTTTTGACACAAATACCTGTCCTTTCTACTTCTTACATTTTCAAAACAGGTTTGTTACTTTAGCTTTAATCTGCGTTTGGTGGCGTGATCAGTGGCGTTTTTATATGTACAAAAGTGGTGGGGCACAAAAAACTTAGATGTCTATATATAAGCTTCTGCAGTGAGGTTCATGGCTGGTGAGGCTCTGACTCTTCAGGTTTACAAATATTATATTTTGACCTAAATCAAAATATCATATTATTTTCAAAAGCTTTTTTTGTCTGATGCTTCAATTAATTTTAAACAGACAGTTCAACAAAAGGATACCCAAAAAATGTAATTGTATCATTTAAATATTGAATTGTTCTCTCTTAGTAAGATCCCATTTTCAATAAAATTGCAGTCTTACCTTGACATGAAGATGAAGTCCATTTGCCTATCCTTCTGGACAAAAATCTCTATTACTTTTTTGTAAAAGTCCTCCTTATGTTCTTGTAGTTTCAAAAGTCTATCATAAATCTGATCTAATCAATAGATTTATGATTAGAAAATTATAAAAGTAGGGTAGACATGTGGATATGATCCGGCTGAACAAAACGTGCATTTATCTAACAGGTTTGTTTCCCACAGATCTTATTTTGAGCTATTTTCTAAGATCCTATGGAGAAATATCATTGCTTTTTTGTGGAGGGAAGCCATGCGCAGTTTATTTCCGGGTTTTAGGACGCCTCACTGCAGCTCTCTCTCCTCCTCTTCACACACCACACTTTTCGCGGCACACGTACTTACAGCCAATCAGCTCTGAATTATGTGAGATGACGTATGGTGGGGATGGCAGCACTATGCCCCTATGGTCATTATTTTTTTTGCCACACACATTAAATAGGACAATACTCTGAGCATGCGCAGTGTAGTTTTTACAGTCACCATTGACTTAAACAGGGAGAGGGAGGGGCAGGATCGGGTTTTGTCCCACATGGCTCAAAACAGCTCAATAGGCACACACTGTAGACACTAATTAGAAGAACACAGACTAAAACAGCAATGTACAGACGAATCAGATGAATAAACATGATCTTAAAATATATTTTATATATTTTTTAATTTATTTTTTGCATTTTTTTGTAATCATTACTTTTAATACTTTCTGCTGACACTAGGTGGGGCTGTGCCCCACCTGCCCCTAATGACCAGTCGCCACTGGGCGTGATCATTATTATTTAGAGTCATTGCGTGTCTATTGATTTTAACACGATCCGTGTATCCATCATTTCCTGGTCTTCTATTTGTTTGGTTTTCAAAGGCAATCCTGTCATCACTTGCTGTCTCTATCATTCTGCACACACACACACACACACACACACACACACACACACACACACACACACACACACACACACACACACACACACACACACACACACACACACACACACACACACACACACACACACACACACACACCAGAGATGGGGACTCGAGTCTGTGACTCGGACTCGAGTCGCACTTAAGTCGCACACACAAAGACTTCAGTTCAGACTTGACTTGGACTCCTGCTCAAAAGACTTCGGACTCGACTTGGACTCGTGTTTTGGGACTCGTGAACAATCATTGTGTTTTCTATTTTTGGCGTATTAAAGGTGGGGTAGGTAAGTTTGAGAAACCGGCTCGAGATCGCTAGAATTTGAAAATACACAACCGGAGAAAATCTGCCACTTCCTCACAGAGCCCCTCCTCCAACACACACGAACGCGCACATGACCAATGAGGGCACGAGAGACGTTTGTGCCCCGATTGAAGGCTGACAGGCAGGTAGGCCATCCAGTTATTTTAGCCGGGCCGGCTATCGGGGTGTTAAGAGCATTCCATCTAATATAACAAAAAGTGTATCTCGAGCCGGTTTCTCAAACTTACCTACCCCACCTTTAACATTAACATTAACATCATGGTAACACCATGGCGACCGGCGGCACACCTGCAGCTGTCCCGCTTGTAATTAGGTTCAACTATAAAAACTTCGAACAAAACGCCGGCGGCACCAACAAAAGGAGCGCACACTGCAAAGTCTGCAATATTAAAATCAAGGATTCTGGTGCAACAACTTCAAATTTCATCAGGCACTTGAAAACTCACCCGGAGAGGTCAGTCACATTAACGCATATGGACGGTTAGCAAACATGTTTAGCTCAGCATCAGCTATATAATGTTAACTTAGCTTGCTACTAGCTTTGTAACTGAATATTTGAAAAGATGAGTGAATGTTTGCTTGTCACACTTGTTTGCGTTGTGTGGCGTTGACATCCAACTCTTGACATGACATAAAAAAGGTCGGTAACGTTAATCATTACGTTCCGCTGCCACCATCTACTGGCTAACGTTAAACGTAGAAAAATACATCGTTACATACATAAATACATCAGGTTACAGGTTTATTGTTGACCACGTAACGTTAATGTTACAGGTTTATCAGGTTACCATTACACTGGGTTTGAGTGAGAGGATAGAGGAATATGTTTATTTATAGTAGACTTAAAAGATGTAATTAGAGACCCAGTGTAATTAAACAATACAGTTGCAGAGGTCAAATTTTAACATTTTTGTCCACTGGCCAAATGGCTAGCCTAGTGAATGTTGAAATGTTACCAGCCACTCAATAGATTGCCATTGTTATTTGTGGCTGGTGCGTGCAACATACAGTACCAGCCAGGGGCGGACTGGCCATTGGGAGTACCGGGAGTTTCCCCGGTGGGCCGGTGCTGTGTGTGGGCCGGAGGGCCAAAAAAAAAAAAGTTGAAATCCTACCGGCCCACATTTGTAAGTGTTCCGGCCCAGCCCAGCCCAGTGGGGTGTGGCCAGGGTTGGGTTGTAACGGAATACATGTAACGGTGTTACGTAATCAGAATACAAAAATCAAGTAACTGTATTCAGCTCGCGTTACATTTGAAAAACGAGTAATCTGATTACAGTTACTTTCGTAAACCTGAAGTGAATACATTTGGATTACTTATTGGAATTATTGGTGGAAAGATTTCCTCACAACATTTAATATTCATTACTAAAGGTACAGCCGAATCATCACAGCGCACAAAACCGCGCAGATGGACCAAAAAGGGGAGCGTTTGAAAAAAATGTGCGGGTCCGCTCAGTGAAACAATAACAACGTAACATGGAGGAACAAAAGTCTGCGTTTAAATCGTGTGTGTGTGTAGAGGTGTGTGTGGTGAAAACACATCAGCCACACCGCTCTTTAGCCTTTCTAATGATTCTGAAGGTAAACACAGGGAAGGCGGTGCGTGAAAGGCACGGCGCACTCGTCTGTTTGGCCGTCTTTTTAAAGAAATTGCGCAAGGTAAGTTGTTTTT